AAACTGGCTCAGTTAAGTGCAATCCGTCTTCCCTAATTATACTATTGTAAGATTATATATCTATATATATAAGATTCAAGTGCATTTAAGAAGAAATACAGCAGTCTCAATATATATATTGGAATAAGAATCCGTTCCTTTTCAAAGTATGCTAAAATTAACGGTGCAGCTCAGATGATCTGTTGTGCAGTTTTGTGCTGAATATCAGAGAATTTAAAGCATAGTATTGTACGGATATATAAATAATATGTAAATGTATGTATATAAAGAACAAAAGATTGGTTTAGTTTACCTAAAGTATAATGAAGATCTGCAGCAACTTGGGCACTTTCATGGTTTTGTTCTATGAACACTTTCATGGCATTGTTCAATGAACACTTTCATTGTTTTGGTCAATGAACACTTTCATGGTTTTGGTCAATGAACACTTTCATGGCATTGTTCAATGAACACTTTCATTGTTTTGGTCAATGAACACTTTCATGGTTTTGGTCAATGAAGTTATCGATAAGAAAATTTATTATTATATTTTTTGAAAGCAAGTAAGTTTGATAGCTAAAAAGAAAAAAAAACAATAAACTATTGTTAATCAAGTAATAACGCACTATTTATTACACTTTATATTTCTCTTGACTTATATATGAGATCTAAAACTTCAAATTTCTTCACCAATGGAACTGCATGTAACGTCTTTATGTAGGTGTATTTAATATACACAATTTCCGGTAGGTAAAATGCTATTTCTGTAAATTAAGGAACTATACATAATGAAAACACCTAATAAAAATACTGCGTAGAAAACGTGTTATATTGAAGGATGGGCGCTTTAGCTGTTTATACATCTGCCTGTATACAGTAACTTACGCCAACAACGTAATCTGATGAAGCAACAGACACACACATATAGCTGTATGGCTAAATAAATTACAACCTCGTAGTTGTTGACAGTATAGACCATATTTTACGCCTCATTTGTTTCAAATTATTTTTCCACTGTTCAAATTGTAACTAATGGTACTTATACATCCTATTTCGTACAAATTATAAGTTGAGCAAACAATAGTTGACTAGAAGCTTAAAGATTTACATTTGTACAGAGATTTGAGGACAAGTGCTCACGTATCGCCTACCTCAAAACCAAAGTTCTCTATAGTTTTCATGTTCTTTAATGCAATTATTTTCTAAAACATGTTGTATCATTCCAGTTCTTATCTGTTAAATTCTTCATGATTTTATGTACATTTGAGTTATGTACATGACGTCAGTTTGTCTTAGTAATCTTCTCATAAGTGTTTTCCACATATCACGGGGATAAATATGTCGTGAATTAATAGCTTAGTCCGTTTCAAACGCATTTTCCTCAAATAAACACATATCAATATCGATGTACGTTTTTCTTTTGTATTTCGCTAAATCTTTTAAATGTATGTCATATCTTGAGGCGTTATTTTTCATACGAGAGCATTTGTTTTCAGAAGCTACTTTTCTATATTGTACTCATGAACTTTTACGCCCAATGATAGAAATCATCTTTGTCTAACCATATCTTTCACTGTGAAATCTTGTTGCTCAGAGCATCTTATGCATCACTAATACTTCTTCTCTTGAAATTGGTTTCATTGCAAACAAATTCTTTAAAGAGATATATTTTCATTAAAACTGTTTTCACTAAGAGATGTCACTTTTTATAAATGTTTCGTCTTTTTTTTCACTCAATGTATGTTACTTACATTTACGTTTTAAATTAAAGTGCTTCATATTATCCTACAATCTGAGGCCCGGCATGGCTAGGTGGTTAGGGCTCGCAATCTGCGGGTCGCGGGTTCGAATCCCCGTCACACTAAACATGCTCGCCCTTTCAGCCGTGAGGGCGTTGTAATGTTACGGTCAATCCCACTAGCCCAAGAGTTGGCGGTGGGTGGTGATGAGTAGCTGCCTTCCCTCTAGTCTTACAGTGCTAAATTGGAGACGGTTAGCGCAGATAGCCCTCGTGTAGCTTTGCGCGAAATTCAAAACAAACAGACAAAACCTACAATCTGTAAAGTTTTTGGTATAAACAAAATCATATACGTCACTATTACATTACTATAACTGTAGTAGAAGGGAAAATATTGAAAAAAAGTCTTCACAGTTGGTAAAACATACGTCTATAACAAAAATAACACATAAAAGTAATATTTAAAAATGATAAAATAATTAAAATAGTAATTCAATGATAATAATGATGGTCAGGGAAATGTGTGTAGGCGGTGTCAAGTTAACAAGGGTGGCAAAGAGCAAAAATAGCCCATTGTGTAGCTTTGTTTTTAACTTCAAACAAACAATCAAATCTATGTAACCCGGTTTAAACTGCCTGACGAAGGGCTCCTGCCCGAAACGTTGCAAATAATAATAACATTTTTGTTATAGACGTGTGTTTCACCAATTTCGAACACTTTTTGTCCTCATAAACTTTAAGATAGCTTTTATATGCGGAAACATCTGTTAGCTGAGTTCTTGCAC